GGCGCAAATGCTCCCAGTTAAGGAGCACAAGACAATGCTCTGCAAGCAGTTTCTGATCGGGAGCCACAGAAGTGGCCACCCAAACAGACAGCTGCTTGCAGAGGAGCCCTCGCCTAGGCACGTCAGGAGGCATCTATATGAACTGACGGACGAAGTCCAGAGGTTCATTAAGCAACCTCTGGACCCGACAGCGTACAGACAGGCCCTGAACGGCATTCACAGGGACTCAGTCTCGAGTTATGTAGACTCTAGACCTGTGAATGCCGTTCTAGGCATACCACCCCCGGACATTGACGAGACAGAGCTTCATCTGCCTCGGGAGACACGCACTACACTCGCTCAACTTCGCTCCGGCTACTGCAGCAGGTTAAACTCCTACTTGAGTAGGCTGAATGAGGATGTGCCGAACGAATGTCCGGCATGCGGAGAGACCCCACATGACTCGAACCATCTCTTCGCATGCCCGGAAAACCCGACAACCCTAACGGCCTTGTCCCTGTAGACAGATCCCACAGAAGCTGCACGCTTCCTAGGGTTGCCGTTAGTGGAACTTGACGACAACGACTGAGATACCAACCGATCTGGGCGGGGTTGTTGTAGCCGCTACAACAACAACAACAACCAAAAACTTTTCTTTGTCAGGCCTGCCGTAAGTATTTCCGTTCCTTTTAACTTGTGGACTAATTTCTATCTTTGTTGAATTTACCTTCGCCAGCAAAAACATTTAAGGAGTCATGTGCCCTAAAAAATCATGAGCTCTGTCACAATGAGAATCGGGAAAGATTTCCGTGCGACATCTGTAACCAAAGCTTTTTAACTCCGTATACATACAAAAAACACAGGCTAACGCACGAAACCAACCGCAAACCAATATATCAATGTGCTCAGTGTGAAAAATCATTTCTTCATAAAAATGGTCTAACAATCCACGAGCTCCATCACAAGGGAGCTACGATAGAATGCCATGTTTTTGTCAAAAACGTTCTGTGCGGCAAATAGACCTAGATGTTCATTTACGCACTCATTCTGGAGAATCGCCATTTGTGTGTCACCTTTGTGGAAAGCAAACAAGAACGTCAAAAACGCTCAGAAATATACTTTTTTCTTGGTTCTTTGATTAGGTGATCTTGTACATCGGCAATGTTCGGACTTCTCCTATTCGAGTGAGAGGAAATTTCTTTGCTTTTTTCGATCGCGGATGAAAAGCAGCGGAATTTTTTTGTCGATCGCATTCCGAATGTGAGAGATGATAAGTTTGTTTGCATTTTTCACTCGCGATAAAAGAATGCAAAAATTGATTTGGAATACTATCGATCGCGATAAATGTCATAAATGAATGAAAACGAATAATCATAAATGAGAATTTCCGAACCCTGGTTACATACAACTTTCAGGAACGCGACGAATTGCCAAATTAAATGTGAAATGTCATAACTGGGCTCTTGGTAAATAACCTGAAATGTTTGTCAGATTATTTTTCAGATGGTAGTAGTAATATCGGTTTGGTACAAAATCCATCTACGAAACATTCATATATCTCCAGAGTACTTCGACATTGTAACAACACACATTTGAATCCGTGTCTCTGAAAGAGTTTTGAGTTAGTGTTAAGAGTAAATATCGTGAAGTCGCTGAAAAGGCCATCTTAACTTTGCTTCCTCCTGTCACAACGTACTCTGTCAACAAGGGATTCAGCATACACTTATACAAAAAACAAATTCAGGTCGAAATTTGGTGCTACCCCAGAAATGTGCATGCAGCTTTCAGACATTATATCGAACTACTATTTTAGACAATAATTATTAACAGTGAAACACTTTCATTATTCACATTAACACTTAAAGTATGTATACTATTTCTAGTAAAAGTTTACAGTTTTACGCCGACTCCGAACGGCAATTGTATTTGAATGAGAAGTTGTTTCCATGACATAATACACTCGGAGGTTTACTATTACCAACAGAGGGGCAATCACTATTAGAAAAACTGGGCTTGAACTCAGGCTCTGCGTAATGCTCTACAGCAGAGGCCACTACTTTTACATATATTGCTAGTATATTCAAAATACTATCCCGAACTTCGGAGTGTATATATGTAATATAAAAAAGAATGAGGGGTACTATAAGAAAATGTACCCAAAATTCTGGAGCAAATAAAAAAATGCTCATTGAAAATAGTTCACATGTATAAATTGAAAGATATAACTTAATAGGTTACAGCGCTAAACAAAAGGAAAAGTTCGAAAAAATAGCAATGCGGTTTGAAGGAAACATGAAGCCATAAAATGCTGGTTTGTTTCGTTAATACTCTGAACTTTGTAAGATATGGCACTCTATTATTTGCAGTAGTTTGCAAATATTCACTAATGGTTCTAAAATCGCAAACATTTTCGTGGGATGTTTTTGTTTGATTTCGAATTGAAAATACATTACGATCATATTTTACCGAAATAAGTGCGGTATCCCTGCATTTTTGTAAAAGCCAGAAAGAAGCATAAACTGTATGAAAAAATGAAAGGGAGAAGTATACATGCCTTCAATAATTTTGACTTATATGTATATTTGCAAGTCTTTGTGTAAACACCAAAAATACAAATTTTCATTTCTTTGCCAGCTTGGAAAATATAGGCTTATTTTTACTTAAACGTGATATAAAGCTCATTAAAATGTTCTGTAATGTCTTGTTGTAAGTTTGTTATCACAGTTCTTCGTATTTTTATTGT